TTTTTTTTACATATATATAGTCTCTTATTTAACAGGGTTATGGCACAGGTTATTACTGTACCTAGGGTACATAAATCTCTTTGTTGTGATTACCTGAAATAAAATCCAATGCAACAGGCTGCTATAAGCAGTCACCTCACTAGTTGATACAATATCCCTGTGTCCCTGTGTTTAATTTAGCCCGAGTATATCTAGCTATCAGAGGTTTGTAGAGGAGCATTACAGACCAAACAGCATGACAATGACTGATATGGCAAGGTTCAGGTTATGAAACAATATTCAAAAGCTTTGAACATCTCACGGAGGCTCTATTTAAACCATTATTTGATAATAAAAATGTGTGATAAAAATGCAAACCTGCCAAGAGGCCAAACTTTACTTGCAGGCAAACTGCACTAATCAACTGCCAGTTTTACAGTAACTTAACTGCCCTGAAGCCAACAGCCAGCCATGTCATCCTGTAGAACACTTCCCATCCAGTAAACAGCTGTAGCTCCCTCTCAGTTTTTGTGCAAAATTGTGGCGTTTGGATGCTTTTAACACAAGTGCAGTTATTTTTCTTAGTGCCTTTGCATTACAATGGCTTAATATCATTAGCTCAATTGATTTAAGTTGTTAACAATGGGAGGTAGTGAAAGCTTTACTGTTCAAACCAGCTGCAGCTGATCTTTTGTCAACAAGCAGCACTGAAACGAGATTAAAAAGCTCTGTTTCAATAAGAATTTATTAACAATACACGACCATATTAAGAATATTTAAAGTGAGCAAATATTTTAGTCCATAAATGTGAAAAACCTGGCAGAGACATGTTTAGAGGTTGGCTTTCCTCAACAACACATTTTTTCTCATACATTCAGACGGTTTGTTTCCTCTGCCAAAAGATCCGTGTAATCACCGGTGGTGGTTGGACATGCCTCATTTAGATGACCTTAAACATGACATTGATCCCGTTTCTTCTGCTCTGCAAAAATTGTTTGCATGTGTGACGGAGACCTAAACATGCACTATCGAAAAAAATCTGTTCTAGAAGACATTTAGTTTCACCACCATGAACCAATGAAGGGATAACAGTAAAGTTTACAATCTTAGAAGCTCAATTACATGCTGCCTCTTTTATAATAATATCCTTATTAGCATGCATTATATCATGGCCTCTAAAGCCTCTTTGCCACTGAAAATATGGCGTTAAAGCATGTTTTTCAAGCATGGGTCAACCTGCTAAGAATTGACTTCCTTCCCACTGGCAAAAAACCTGGGTCTACCCCTCGCGGGCAAGCTGCATGGCCTCTGTCTCCCCCGCAGCTGGGGCTGACTGTCCGACTGTCCGCCCTAATCACTATATAGGGCCCTATACAGAGGTTACGAATCATCCCCTGACACCCAAAGGTAGCCCTGCATTTATGATCTAAACAACACACTCTTTATATCCATTTTTAACTTGGCACAAGAGGTAAAATGTTTTCTACACAATTAACAGTTCATGTTTGTTTTTTTTTAAATTAGCACATAACATGGTAAAAGAGATATACATTGTCTTTCAGCATCTTTTAAATATTAAATCTTAGGAACATATCTGTAAAGCTGTGGCGCAGAAAAAATTATGTTTTTAAACGGCCTTATTGATAATATCTTACTCAAGATTTTTGCTACTGGTGTCCTCACTAAATTGAAGACAATGGAGCATATCACCACAGGTCTGAAGTTAGTACAGCGGCTTCCCATATCTCAGAAAAATAGACTTTAAAAAGATTTCTGTTTATAAATCACTGAGTGGCTTAGTAAGTTAGCACATTACAGACTTATGGTCAGTGTATTAACCAACCAGACTGCTCAAGTCTTCTAGTCCAAGTCTACTTTTTTAACAGAGGGAATCAGCTTTTAGTGCAGATGCACCGATATTCTTTGATAAACTCTGAGAAAAGTAGAAAAGCACTGAAACATTCAGTTGCTTTAAGTCAAGATCAGAAATGTGTTCAGAGTGGCCTCTGAATGTGCCCTTATTAACCATTTTATCATAATGTCTTCATATAAGCAATCCTCTTAACTGTTCATTTTATTCTCTGTAACAATTAGGGTTAATTATCTATTTACCTTTATGTCACAGTAATGTTTTCCTGTAATGTTTATTTTTATTTTTTTCCTATGTACAGCACTTGAATTGTCTTGCTACTGAAATGTCACCTTGTCTTAAAAGGGTTTTAACACTTCTTTGGGAGCATCAAAATAAATAAAAAATATGTAAATGAAAAGAATTGTAGAATAATACTTGATAAAAATTCAAAGCTATTGCATATATCAAAACTAAACATAATATTATACATTAATATGTTATTGGTAGCTTTATGTTAGTAGTTCTCATCATGAAATAATTTATCTTTTATTAATTTCTATTAAATGTATATATCATTTTATCATTTTTTAGGTTCATTTATTTAGGTAAATAAATTATCTAAATGAAGTCAGTCTTTGTTCATTGACTTACCCTATTTGGGGAAATTTTGATTAGGAATTCTTCACATTTTTGCAACATAAAAACTAAAACAAACAAATTTTTGGAAATCTTTTACAGGTTCTGAAGAGCGACAATTTGGAGCTTCCCCTGATTTAAAAAAGTCCAGCTCCATGGAGAGTCTCCACAACCCTGCTGCTGAGGTTATAATGAACGAAGAGCTCAACGTCCAAAGGATGCCCTCGCGGATCATCAGGGGTCGAGGCTGCAACGAGAGCTTCCGGGCGGCTATAGACAAATCCTATGTGCAGCGTGGTTTCATAGCAAAGGAAGAGAACAGCGTTGAGACATGTGAGTAATTACTGTACATATCTATACTATATAACGGCGATTGGTGCTCTGTATCCTATGATTAAACTTATTGATTTAAAAAGGCTGGTAAAATATCATGTAATGTAAACTTTAAATGAAATTGTGACTTAATACTTAAGATTTTAGTAACGTTAAGGCCAGATGACATTGCTGGCGTCCAACTGAAAGCTCAGATACCATTTTTTTTTTCTTTTGAAAGTTTGCAGATCTTTGCTGCATTTTATTTTTTACCTATGTCCCACAAATTAAAACAATGTCCTGCATTTGAGTGGGTCAAATTTAATTAAATTATTTTTTGAGACTCAGAAATTTCTGATAAATGGCTTATTCTGTGTTTAAAGTTCTGTAAAACTTAAGTTTACGGGGTTAGGAAAGAGCTGAGTCAGCTGTCAATCAAAATACAAAGCAGCACCTTACTTTATGACCAACCTGTGCACATTGTCCTGAAATTAAAAGAGATTAATACTGTATATACAAAATATTATCAAAATTATCACTTTATCCGAACATCCACCCTCACACCCAACCCCTCAACCACTACATAGAGTGGAGACTTTAAAGTAAACTCAGCGAACTGTTTTTTCGGACCTACTTTTTGCTCCCTGTTTGTCACGTGATTCCGGCTCCCCCACACAGTACCCCAAAACAAATCCCATGATGCTTTGCAAGGAGGCGTCTCAAAGCATTCTGGGATATCTCTGCTCGTCTAGTGACCAGAGATCTTTTTTTGATTTATCTGTTTTCTGTCCTCCAGAGCTCTTACCATAGATGAAGTACACTGTTTATCCAAATATTTTATGATTGGTTATGTCCGAGTTGCTGCTTCAAACAAGGCTAACATGGATGGTTTACCTTGTGCAACGGAGATTTTACTTTGTATTTTTTTACTAAAGCAGATCTGTTTTACTTTTCCACCATGTATCTCTTCCATGTCAGACTCATGAGAGTAGGGTTGTCATAATACTAAACTTTTCAACTCTATACCGATACTAAGGAAAATATTCGATACTCGATATCATTTTCGATACCACAAGGATAAAAACAAAGACTCCAAAATTTTACAGAAATACTTTCATTAATAAATAAAATACAATCAATAAATACAATAAACAATAAGAACAATATTTTGAGGTTGTATGCTGTGCACAATATTAAGCAAGCTTGATAAAAAAATAAAAATTAAGTTTTCCTTCCTTGGCTATGCTTTGCACACATAACAATGACACTAGCCAAACCGGTTAAGAAACAAAAATAATTCTCAACAGCTGCACCTCTTACAAAAAAAAAGTCTGAAACTGAAAAGTGCACAGAACTATTCAATCACACAGTGTTCTGAAAGTGCATTTTCCTCTATTCTGCACTTTAGATGAATGACTGCTTAGGTGCCACTGGTGGTGGCACTGTATCGATACTTTTAAAAACGAGTATTGTATCTGGATACAACGTTTCAGTATCGATACTTTTTTGAGTATCCCTGCATGAAAGTGCAACTGAATTGCTAAAAGGTCTGGGCAAAATGGACCAGTCTATCACAGTTGGTGCTAAACAAGCACAATTACAGCAAATTGTGTATTTGAGACCAGTCTCAGACCTGCACCTATTTTCAATGAACTCTTAGTGCCACAACCTCATATGATCGAATTTTCTGTTAGATCAAACGCTAAATCTTAAATTAGGGGTGTGTTTAGGCCTTTACAATAGATCCCAAATTAATATATCTTTTTTTCCGTACAAAACGAATCCTCTACATCTTGCTCCTCAGTTCCTGAAAAATACTTTTTTCTATATAAATAGGTTTTGTCCTCTAAACCCTTCTTCATTTTTTCTCTCCTTAGACTGGGTAGAAAGAACAATACAAAAATAATGAAATTAGTTGCTAACATTCAAGTTGATGGCTAATACATGCCAGAACTTGTTATAATTGTTTGAATAAGCACCAGTTTAAATCTTTTGACACCTCAAATTTGTTGAGCTGTTTTTTTTTTTTTTTTTGCCAAATTTCCTGTGTGGGGGTAAACTAGCGCTCTGTCTCTTTATCATACTCGCTATCAAACATTCCCATTGTGAAAAATGTGGTTTAATCATGAAGTTTGGATCCCTTCCCAAATCTGATCTGAGGTTATGAAAAGATTTAGAGTTACCTCTAAAGAGCTTCTTAAAAAAGCTGATTGTGTGATATTTAGTTAGAGGTATCGGTATAAATTAACTGGGGTGGTTAGTGCACCGAGAATGTTGCAAGTACCTGGTTCGATGCCCACAAACTGCCAGTCTTGACCCCACACTGATAGATATCTCCAGTGTGAGATCAATAGAGTTCAATTAAAAAAAAAAAAAAAGCTGAATTCAAATTCTTACACTCTTCAAATATTTTAATAGAAAACCTTTACAATCTTCCTTTGGCCTCCTAAATATATTATTCTACAGTACGCAGATCTATCACATTAAGAACAAAGAAGTTTGTGGATGTTCAGTTGGTATGATAACTTTTTCAAGGCACTGTTATGAGATGACAACACATATACAGAATAGAGAGGCAGCCGTGTTACAGTTTCTGACAGGCAATAACACCGCCACACCACAAGAGTAATCACTTGTTATAAATTTCCTTTCACCATTAAAGGATTCCATTAAAAGAGCTGAGGGACATTTGAAAAAGAAGGAATTATTTGCCTGAAATGCTTTGTTCTCATAAGCTTTGTCGGCAAGCCACTAAATACAGCCTTATCTCTGCAAAGAAAAATGGGGAAAGCAACCGATTTCCCCTGCTGCAGTATATTGCATTCTCCCCATGATATTCAAATAACTCTGTTTTTCAATTTAGATAAAAGCAGCCAGCCCGTGCTCGTCACTGAGGTTAATAGTCAGAGTTGACAGATAAGCCGCTGCCTTCCACTGCTCCCAGACTTTTATTTACATAAAATAAGAACGGGGCATCACGTCAAGAAAATGTGTCCCCACAAGATATTCTGCTGGACATAATGCACTTCCTCTTGTGCTGCTCTGTGTTGTACTGTTTGAAGAAATAAGATAGAAAAAAAAAAGTTAAATCATCCCTCGCTTCTGTTATGTATTGGAAAAAGACGGGCAATTTACCTTGTCTCTCACAACCTTCCTTGACAGGCCATCTTAAAGGTCTATGATTATTATGGAATAAAAGTTTAATGGTTGATTTCAGAGAAGTGACAAAATGTTTCCGATGGTTGTCTGCTGTTGCAAATTATCTTTGAGTTTCCTGACACTTTCATCAAGGTTTTCTGCTAGTATTTGTGACTGCCGGGCTTTTCTTTTTAAGTCCCATCAAATCAATCTGGATGGCCTCACCTTCTGATGTCTGACAGTAAAGGCTTTTGTCTGCTTTTATATAGAACATAACTCGTTTTTTCTCACTTTATGTCAGTGTTATATTAAATAGTAGATGCCAAAAAATATATTGAATTCAAAACTGACCTTTTCTTTTTTCCTCTGTTAACTCAGACTGGTGCAGCACTTGTGACGGAGATGATTTTAACCTCACTTTGAACGAAGATTTAGCTCAACAGATCATCCGTACTTCATAACTTGGAACAGTTGATACATAAAAAAAGCCTATGAAGGACTGGGGTTTGTGTGATTTCTGACTTTCAAGTCCTTCATCAGATAAATTAGTTGATTTCCTTTTAATCAGAACTTGGTCATTAAGATGGTTGGTGAGGCAAAGATTAATACATTTTTTTTCAGCGACGATGTACCAGTGATTATGCTGGCAACAGGCAAAAAGAAATCTAAAGGGCAGATTAGACGTCTGCAAACGCACACATCAAATGTTGCTTGGGTCTGGTTGCAAACCATGTTTTGCTGGTATCCTTCTGCACCGTCGGTCTGGAATTTCTAGGGATGCACAGCAGTTTCCCGCCAAAGCGCAATGGGGAGCCTATTTGAGAACTCGCGAGAACTTCGGCGGATGGTCACCAGAACTTCAGTTTGGCAGAGACCTTGGCATCTTTATATAATTTGTCAGAGGCATTGTAAAAGTGGTTGTACTTCCGAACCTCCTCGATTAACCTTTCGTGGTAGTTGTCCATTGTTCTTCGGTTTTAAAAAATGGCGCTTTCCAGCACCGAATCAAGTAGGATGACCACACAGAAAGGTAAACCAAGGACCAATCACAGCTGCTTGTTGTCTGCGCACTTCCGCTTGAGGTCTGCGTGGGTTTGCGACCGTATGACCCACAGTCAGGATTTTTTTGAGACAGAGACAGATTTGACGGTTGCAGAGGCTATGCGTCAGAAGCTTAAATTGGCCTTTAGATTTAACTCATCATTAAACACAATGATTTTCTTTACAAGGGTGGATCAAGTTTTTGACATTAAATGGTCAATCTCTGGGAATCTAAAGGGCAAAACCATTTCCTGTGCATCATATAAAAAAAAGGAGCACAGCTGCAGTGGAACTGGAACAGAAATAAAAGTCTTGGAAAATTATTGATGCTACATCTCAAAAGTAAAGTCTGCAAATTTAAATAAGAAAACTAAAGTTAGAAGAAGATAAAACTACAAATGCACAATACAGTTAACAGTAACTGCGAGTAATGGTACCAATTAATAAATCTAAAAAAATTGATACAATTTTAGATCATTTGAGAGAAATCTAGTTAAACATATATTGGCCCATCCAATACTAACATGAAATATAGAATACATTTAGGAAAATAAAAACCCATAGAGTTCCATTTAGAAACTGTTAAGTTCTTAAAGAAAACACTTAAAAGTATGACTAATAGAAAGGAAACCTAAACATTATTTCAATTCATATATCAGTCCTAAAGCTTGGTTTATGCCTGATGCGTCCTCAAGGTTTAAATTACGTTATATTTGGCGTCCACACCCTTCTGCTTGACGTCCCTGGGGACTGAATTTCCCCATTGCGCACCAGAAAATTTGTAACTACGCAGAATTATTCCTGTGTAAAGAATTGACAGGCGAGCAACAGCTTCTATTGGCTAGGGCATGGAGATTTAAACCTTTAGAGACTTTGATTTAGCCCATAAATACCACTATCAAAAGATTGTCAGAAAAAAAAAAAAACTGGAAAGAAATGACTGTTGCTCATGGACTTCGACAAAATTATAAACAGCTGTGTTTTCTACTTCCTCATGCATCAGCTTGTCAACCTTTCTGACCAATAATCAATAATTCTAGTATTGGCTAAAAGCTTGACATGGGAGGTAGGTACCCAATCAGCTCTGAGATTTCTACTTAATGCCCTTCCCTGTTGCGAACCCTTTCAACAGGAGGATTTGACTTATCCTTTCCGTAGAGTAAAACTACCCAAGCACTTGTACAATAGGCAATCTCTATCTATTTGGTACACCTGAAATGCAGAGTCAGGACATGTGGAAGAAAGAAATATGTTTCCCTGTGTCAGTGTGACTGCTGAGATTGGATCAACTTGAACATAAACAACAACTTGCAGATGTATGCAGACAGGCTCGTAGATGCACATTTGTCGGCTGCCCTCTGGGAGGCTCTGGATTAAAATATTTAGAGTGTTATCTGCAGCTCAGCGTCATTAGGCAGCAGTAGGAACATTAGCACTACTGCTAATCTCATTCATTTAAATAGCCAGATAGAGCTCACAGCTGCTACTTGCCGCCATTGTTCTGAAGTGGATGATAAGCAGGCGGCAGACAGAAGGATAAAGTAGATCCCTATCCAGAAACTGCATACAAATTAGTGCAAGACATTGTGCCATTTATTGAAATCAATCAAAACCGTCCGTTTTATGCCTTTTAAAAAAGTAAAGCATAAAGTTTCTTTCTGTGTATTTTCCATCCATCCATTTTCTGTCACGCTAAATCCCAGCTGGGGTCGCAAATGATGCTGGTGCCTATATCCAGCTGTCTACGGGCGAGAGGCGGGGTCCACCCTGGACAGGTCGCCAGTCCATCACAGGGCAACACCGAGACAAACAACCATTCACGCACACATTCACACCTAAGGAGAATTTAGAGAAACCAATAACATAACAGTCAAGTTTTTGGACTGTGGGAGAAAGCCGGAGTACCTGGAGAGAACCCATGCATGCTCAGGGATAACATGTGAACTCCATGCAGAAAGGACCCAGGCCAAGAATCGAACCCGGAACCTTTTTGCTGCAAGACAGCAGTGCTACCCACTGTAACACTGAGCAGCCCAATTTCTGTTTATTTTTTTTCAGTTTTAGAACTTATGTGATCATTTCAGTCAAGATAGATAGAAAGAAATATCTAAATATAGATGCATAATATACATTAATTATTCATCTTTTTGTAATGTTTTCATTTTTTTAGATTAACCTGTGTAAACAGATCAGAGGCCTGTGCAGAAATCAACTGTATGATTTAAGATGCTAATCTGCTTTCAGTTCTTGCCTTTCTCTGCTTGCTGTTAGTATTCCTTAGTAGTAGTTTCCTTTGAGGTGGCAGCTGCAACAAAAGGTGATTGCTCAACAGATCACAAGAGAAAGTGAAATCCTATCATCCTTAAAATCTCTTTCCAACCTAAGGCTGCTAAATATTTTTGTCCCTCCTCCGTCTTCTTTCCTCATGATAAGCACTTTTCTCTCTTCTATCAGAGGTAGAAATTAAACAATGACATGCATGACTGTAATGCATCGTGATCTGAGGAACATCTACTTCATACCTCTGAGCGAAAGATAGAGCAGACAGGGGCTGTGCCAAGCTCAGCACACATCATATGTGTAATTACCATCCCCCAGAAGCCTTCTTCTAGATTATTTAAATGAGTAATTAGTGATGGATTAATTACATTTTCTACATTGATTCTGATTAGATGTGATGAAAACTTTGAGTTTAATCAACCTTGCAGCACCTAAGGAGTTTGGTTTGAGTTTGATGTCGGGTATAAAATTAGTTCAGACGTAATTAAATATCAGATTCGCTTGACTATCATTAATGCATACGCTAGTGTTCAGTTGGATCTCTTTTTATGTATAAGAATATGCAGAAGAAGAGGAGTTTTCTGTGATCTGTGTGAAATGTACACAACTGAAATAACTTCAGGCTCCCAACTAAGAAAGTATGTTCCAGTGAACTCTACTCTCAGTGGGTGAGCAATGTAAATATATTCCGCTCTAACGAGGAGAGTCAATTCAGTGTTTTGTACGGAGCCCCTCTGATGACATGGTCAAAAAAAATGTTTAATTGTGGCCTTGAAGTAGTATTTCGTGCGCACATTATACTTATTGCGTGGCCACGAAATCCTACTTCGTGGCCACAATTAAACATTTTTTTTGACCATGTCATCAGAGGGGCTCCGTAGTTTTGTTCAGATATTCAGTACGTTTTTTTATGGCTTCTCTGATGTTGCTCAAAAAAGGAGGGATGCAGTCCAAATGGTAAAAGACAACTTAAAATGTCTGCTGATGTAAAATGCAGCTTCATTAATCTATAGGGACTCAACCAAAAGTTAAAGTTCATTTACTGTATTTGCACTTTGCTCTGCAATGTCTTGCTTTAACATTAGTTTCACATTTTTCCCCCACCATTTCAAGTTTTTTAAAACCTGATTTTCTTATTTATTTTTTGTTTATTAAATGTTTTGGATAAGAAAACAAACAAATAAATAAATACAATTATATGGCAAACATAACAAGAGCAAATATAAGCTTTTGTTTAAAAAAAAAAAAAAAATCAATGCCACAGGTTTTTGTCTAATTCACATTAGACCAGGACAATCAAAACTTTTTTTTGTTTTGTTTTTTTGTTCCTTCCTTAACCCTTTAAAGCCTGATCCAAGAATAAAACAAAACAGAAAATTACTTTTTTTTGGTTTGAAGTCCTTATTTGGCCTTTTAACAAAATAAGTTTAAAAGAAAAAACAGAAATACATTTTTGATATTAATAATTTATTACTATGCGATAAGTCAAGATTATTTTTTGTGTCATCTGCCCTTTGTTATCAGGTATGTCTGATTGTGTACAATAGGATTTTGAGCAGTTTTTACCATTAAATTATGCAAAAGGTGTCAGACGCGAAACATTTCAGAAACCGTATGTATCAAATATGATACATTTGGCATTATTGGGTTAAACAAATTTTAATTGGAATTTCTAGTTTGTTTCTGACCTCTTTTTTTTCTTTTTTTTTCAATAGCTCTAATGTTGAAATGATTTTTCTCACTGAGATTTTTATGGTTAAGAACAGCACTATAGGTTCAGCCATTTCCAGCATTCATTAATTCCTTCATTCAGACTTTGACTTCGTCTGTGTCCAAATGTCAGCCCGAACCCCTAAATCCGTCAATCACTATATAGAGCGGGGACTATACAGTGGACTCAGTTAACTGACCGTTCAGACAGATGATCACTACTTTTTGCTCCGGGGTTGTGACGTAACTCTTCCTCCACCGCCCGGTGCCTGTGGCATCTTTGTTGTTAGTCCGGCTATCAGGTAGCAACAGCCTATGGCGACATGTGCCGCTGTGACAGAAAATCCCATAATGTTCTTCAAGGAGACCTCTCCCCTCCAAGCATTGAGCGATTGATTTGTTCGTCTAGTGACCATGGATAATCCCTACTCTTCAAGGTGCATTGTGGGAGATTTTGAGTCCACTACTTTTCCATCCACTACAGTATACGTTTGGACACTCATTTAAAATGGAGTAACCGCTATATAGTGCCCTATACAGTGATTAGGAAGGATGTTCGGACACAGCCTCAGACTTAGAAAAAACTGTATGCACAGTATGTATACAAAACAAAATTCAATTGCATACAGCATTTCAACAGTGAATTAGCAGCTAACTAAGGTGAAACAGTGAAATGAACACCACCATTCACAAAGTGCAGCAGTGATTAAAATGTAAACAGTGTAGGAGAAATGAAACCAGTTTAAAAATAATGCTGCAAAATCACATTAATATGAAAAGGTTCAGTGCAATTCATTATAAATATGGTGCAAAATGCAGTAGAGAATTTGAGTTGTGTCCTATTTAAAAGGATTAAGCATCTCGTGTTCTATCACAGCATTCATTCATTCATTCATTCATTCATTCATTCATTCATTCATTCATTCATTCATTCATTTATTCATTCATTCACTAATTACATAGTTGGTTGGGAAACCTTTTCTCACCAAATATATATTCATCATTAGAAAACGGTGTTTAATGTACTCAGGGTCACTTAATCTGATATGAAACCTTTTTTTTTTTTGCACACGTTACACAATGGCTAATATATAACAAAACAAAAAAAATCAGCATTTTATTTTTCTCAGCACTGTAAAGTTAACCCATCTGATCTGTTTTTTTGTCCTTCCAGTGGATGAAGACACAGAGGAAAGCTTTCCTTCAGGTCAGGAGTCCATGTCCACCAGCGGCGATCTCAGCCTCGGTGGCGGGCTGGCTGATGACAAGCAGAAAGATGGCGCCACGGGCGGGCCAAAGGAAATCAAGAAAGGGGAGAAGGAGAAAGACAAGGACAAGAACAAAGCAAAGAAGGGTGTTCTGAAAGGCCTGGGTGAGATTCTCAGGTAAGAACAACAGAGAGCTTACAGCACTTAAACAACCCATTTGTGTTGCCCCGAGCACCAATCATTGCCTGCTTTATTTAATTCCACTCAACACGTTCACTGGTGGATCATACAGACTCTGAATTCATTCTCTGGATGTTGCCAACGCTAATCAGGGACCCTTTTCCTTGAACCCTGTGAGGTGGTTGGGTGAGGAGGGGGTGGTTATCGACCTCGAGGGCCTTTGGCACTTTAGAGCCAGATTATTTTTAATAAGGGCAACATGTTTTATTCATAATCCCATGTGCGAGGGCCTTCCATCCACATCGCTCAGCATTTGTTAACCAGCAGAAATTGTTCAGAGCCTATACTAATGGGGAGGGGCTGGTATGAAGCTCAGGGAATTAAAGACCTTTGGCTAGATGTTAAAATCGACTCTGAATCAGTTTGTATTGTTTCCTCTGCCTTATTTTAACTTCTACTGTTTCGACATGGAGCGGCCAGATTTCAGCTCAAGAATATATATATATATATATATATTTTTTTTTTTATTTCATCCCTGGAGGTTTTTACTTTGAGGAACCACAGAGAAATATTTATATGATCCTGCAGGAAGGATTTATTCTGACCCAAGGGTAAAATTTTTGCTAAGCACCAGTTTCAACTTTTGTATTTTAGAAAAGCTTTGGCACATTTTCATTTCACATCCACAGAGTGAGATTTAGAAATGTACTATAAGCTTTATAATTTATTTTGTCTGTACATTTGTTTAAAATTGCTCAAACTCAGTCAGATGGTGAAAAATAGTAGTACCACACATTCTGAATTAGATTTAGATGAAGAGTTTGTTCACTTTACCTCATGAAGAGGCTTTGATTTCAACTCATATTATAAACTTTATCATAAACTTCCCTCCCTCATAACCTTGTGATCATCTCCCTCCCTCTCACCACTCTCCCTAAGCATTATACTTCCTCCAACATGCATGTTTATGATAATGGATAGTGTTATATTTCAGGGATTTATTCAACAGCCCAAGGTCAGTTTTTCTTTAAAATGACCCAAGAAGCGTCTTTCCCATTAAATATGTATCATAACTGAATTTCTGATGATCTTTCAAACATTTATTTTCTTTCCACTATTTAATAAAAGCTAGATTTGGAAAGTTAAAGCTGTTTATTGTTGTTATGGCGGGTTAATCCACCTGACCACTTCTGCTGCTCCTCTAAAGCAGGGGTTCCCAAACATTTCAGCCTTTCACCCCAAAAATTACATCGCAGACCCTCGAGAATTGTTATTATTATTTTTATTTTACCTTTATTTTACCAGGATGTCCCTTGAGATAAAATCTCTTTTTCAAGGGAGAACTAGCCAAGAGGCTGCAGTACAGTAAGACATATAAGAACACAGGACAACATAATAAATTCAATCATAAACTAGACTCTAGAATAACAGTTACAATTCTCTGTGCAAGCGGTTTTCAATAGTGATTTAAAATGCTGTAGCGGAATAAGAGTCCGTAATTGCAGAGAGTTTTGAATATTGTGCCACGACCGTGGTGCTGCATAGAAAAATGATGTTTTGCCAAGATCTGTGTTGGTCCTGGGAATAGTATAAAGAACTTGACTTGAAGAGCGTGAGTTGTAACCACTGTTAGCTACAGACATGAGGTGACACAGGCCTTGTAAATGAAAGTAAGCCAATGATGTTGTCTTCTGAGGTTTAGAGAAGGCCTGAAGGCAGAGTTGGTGATGAAACGTAAAGCACTGTGATAAACTATGTCCAGGGAGTGGAGAGCTGAGGAGGCAGCATTCATATATGATGTCTCCATAGTCCAGAACAGGACTTACATATAATCACTTAAATACTCATCTATATAGTGAAGTGAAGCAACTATATTTTACCTTTAATTGTTTACCTCATCATTTTTTTTTATTTGAATTGAATTTAAATTGAATTCTTCAGTAATGCAAATTAAAATATATTGATAAATTTAAACCATAAACCATTGTGTGACCTCCGCCATTCCTGCCAGGCTTTTCACTATAGGTGGACTTGCAATTTTGTTTTATAAATGTATTCTTTGTCTTGATGAGGCTGTTTGGTTACTTATATTGTCAAAACAATTCTGCAAAGAGCATCTCTTTTGTTTTTTACTAGAATTAAAATACACACTTCTGTCATATTGACAATAAAGTGAAGTCAGGTGTGGTGGATATTTAGGTAGACCATCAGAGCAAACCGTGCTGAATATGAATGCATTTATCATGTTCTTTTAATTAAACTCTTAGGCTAAAATACACAAAAATGCTAATGTTTTCAAGTAGAAAACTCTTAAAATGCTCTGTGATCATTGTTATTCTATTCTTCCAGTCTTTAAATAAGCTCCATAAGCTTTCAATACAAATGAGAATAAAGGATTTGAGTTATGCACCTTGGAAACAATTGCTTTAAAAAAAAAAATCAAAGACTGGCTGAATACATATCAATAGAAGCACTCACAGACTTACACACAAACAAAACTCCCATCCTGCAGGTATCACTTTAGCATTCCTGTCGCATGAAGAAATGGTGATGGAGTCACATTAATTAGTTTGGTTCTCTGCACATTTTAATATGCCATAAATTAACAGCAAGGAAAGGCGCTTCTCATTGCTATCGTGCTTGAAGTTGTTTTCATGTGGATTACCTTAATAGGATTAGTTAGAATATCACTGGGAAAGGCACAGAACTCTGAACAATAGATGACAAGCATGTTTTAAGATCAAAACTGACGGACTTGTGGGGGCGGTGTTCATTGTGACTGATTTTAGATTTGTACATTTTACACTTACCTATTTCTCGCTCTCTTGTTGTTGCATGTTTGGTAGTGATATTTAAGTAACACTCTCATGATCTCTGACAGATTTTATAGGCACACACTTATGTAGCTCTGCAGAACATTTGAATAGATGTAGCAATTTGAGGTGGAGGTTTGACACTCTGACATGCAATCAAGACTGTGGGCAAAGCTTAAATCTTTTTGAGTAGATCTGCGCTGCTGGTGATTTTCTCTGTGCATGTAGGCCCGGTACATGCCCTTCTTGGCCTCATCATCGTTCTTCATTATCTTTGAGTGCCACAGTCACTTAAGAGCTGGCATGCTGCGGGCCTCGCTGACACTCCCCCTGCTCTGTGCATTTAACGGCAGGCCCTGTGCCGTCCTGAATACAAAGCGGAAGACCTACAAACCAGCTAGACTTCTTCTCAAAGTTTTATTGTATGGCTCTCAACAACTTCTACTTCATGTTGATGCCTTAATGTTTAACTTCAATGTTATGAAATAGAACACACCGTCTTAATATTTCTCTCTGTTTTATCACCTGACAGTTTTTGAACCTTTACAGCGAGAGAACTGTGGTGAAAATTAATGCATCTCACTGGATGCAACAACAAACAATAAGTGTTGTTAAATGCCTAACGGTCAGAAGGGAGGATAGAGAATGAAAGTGTCATATCTGTCTGTTGCGTATCTAGCTTTTAGCAATTCTGGCACACAAAAAAAAAGTTTTTTTTTTTTTTTTTATTTTATTTCAGGCAGGAAAAGTTTTAATGTTCATGACAAAAGGCTTCAGCTGACAGAAGAGGAACTCTCCTTGAAGGCTTGCACACCACGGATGGAATTTATATTAGTAATTTTCACATTTGAGTGTCTCAGCGTTACATCAAAACATCAAAAAGACATCCTGATTAGGTTAATCCTTTGTACTGCTCCTCTCTGTGGTTTTCATCAGCATAAAATGGACAACCCAGAACTTGCATTTTTGATGGCTGACTTCCACACGTTCCTCCTCTTAAAATCAAGGAATTTGTAGTACTTTGCAGTTTAAGCTCATTTGCATGCAGACATTTGGATTCTGTAATGAACATGTTGTGCATGTCTACCTAATGGACAGGCTGATTGGGAGTGCATAAACCTCAAACCCCCAAACAGAAAAGAGGACCGTCTTACATGGGGGGAAAAAGAAGAGGAATACCACAGGAGTTGTTTTGGAGTGTTATATCCAGATAGTCTAAGAATGACTGAAATCATGCATGATGGAAAGAGAGCAGACCGACTAAAGCTGGAGGCAAAACTCTGCTTTATATGACTCTTCCCTGCTGCTTTATTCTGATTTCTACACATCCATCTCAATAAAATGATCATTTTTTATATAATTTACTTCTAAAAATGATTATTTTGATTTATTTTAGAAAGAAAGATATTTTAAAATATATTTTGTTAAAAAAATATTTGCCTCTTTAGACAGAAACTTATCTAAATTAGTTGTTGAACATCTGTAGACTTGCCTTTTATTCTTTGTAAAATTAGCTGAAAATAAGTCAGGCTGGACAGTTAACACCTGTTAACATCAGGGTCAAGTTTTGCCTTAAATTAATGTCTGGACCTAAACTTGGGCAGAAATCTGCTTCAATCCAAGCTATTTCACTCTAATCTTTGTTTTTTTGGGGGTTTATGTCCATACTGCCAGATACTCTTCATAGATTGCCAAGTATTTTGCTCTTTCCATCTTCCCATCAATTATAACCCACTTTTTGGCTAATCTGAGATATTAAATGACATTAACATGGGAACAAACTAAGAAGGTAGTTACTTCTAAAGGCAGCTCACTTGGTTTAATGGCAAAATGCAAATGTGACACACATTTGCATTGTGAAACACTTTATAAACATGTTGTATTTTGTGTTTTTTATCCAATATAATTTCAGTATAACCCATTATACTCTGTGGCTACAATATAAAATAAAAGTAGAACATTTTAAAGCACTTTGCCTGCCTTCCTTGTAGGATCTTATGGAATCAGCAGACCTCTCTGTATGAATGCAGTAGATAAAAAAACAGCCCTGGGCAGCAGCTATGTATCAATGCTATTCAAAGAAGGTTTGTTACATGCTCGTTTCTGAGTGTCCCTTTCTGCACCCATCTGGGTGTAAGGAGCCAAGGGGGGGCATATTATCCCCCTTACCACTCTACTTTATTA